AAGATCTCATGCAGTTGGGCCCATGTCCTTACTACTTGTCGTTAAGAAGTTTTTAGTTCTTCATAAACATCATAAACTGCCAGGGGCAATAACTACTTAAAATGTTTACGAATTCTTTCGCACTAATAGAATGAGAAGTGTACTAAATTAGTCGCAGACATTGTAGAAGGTTTCGTACCTCTACGGTTTACGGTTTCGGAGGAGTAGCGATAACAAGGGTTTACACTGAAAGGGGCACTAACTTTTAGAGGGTTCAATCTTAGGGGACAAGCATGGAATCTCTGAAATGGTTTTAAGAGTAGATACTAAAGATGCAAAGAAGTTTAGAATTTGGTAAAGAACAGAAGAGCTATAAAAAATGCTGAATTTTACCTATTTTGAATGACCTTGACCTTTGACCTTGACCTAGATTTTAAGGTCAAAGGTCAAGAAATCTTTTGCATTTGGCCCCATGTCTCTACGCCTTGTCGTTTTAGAAAAATTCTTGATATTTGTAAACATCGCAAACATTCAGGGGCAATAATTCATTATAGGAGTTTATGAATCCTTTCGCAATGTTTGATTGGAGAGTCTACTAAATCAGTCGTAAACATTAATAAAGGTTTGGAATCTCTGCGGTTTATGGTTTCGGAGGAGTAGCGATAACAAGCTTTCATTGCGAAAGGGGTCGTAACTCCGAAAGGGGTCAAAGTTCATATACGCAGGGTCAACTGGAAAAATCTTTTACGGAGTACATTTCTATCGACTGAAAATCTTTTCGATAAATCTTGAAACAAAAAATCACACGGCGGAAAAATAATAAAGAAAAAGGAAAAAAAGAAACAGAAGAATATCAATAGGTCTTTCCAGAGAAAGCTGGAAAGACCTAATAACTAGGAGACTTATTGTTCACAGAACAATAAGAGGTCTTTCCACCTTCTTTGAATTTCAAATTTGTTTTATATCTGACTCCTAAAAATTAAATTCCATGAAAAAGAAACCAAAATTGTCTTAAAGCATAGAAAAAATGAAAATTTAAAAAAAAAAGAATGACCTTGACCTTTGACCTTGAAAAAATATTCAAGGTCAAAGGTCAAGGGTCACAATGCAATTGACCCCATGCTTCTACCACTTATAGTTTTCAAGTTATAAGGTTTAATAGTAAGTACAAAGAAGTTAAAGGGCAATAACTCATATAAGGGGTCATCAGATTCTTTTGCACTTATACAATGAAGTTAGGTCTAAAGACCCTTAAGACATTAGTGAAGGTTTGGTGTCTGTAGGGTCTACAGTTTCGGAGGAGTAGCGATAACAAGGTTTTTCGCACAAGGGGCAATAACTTTTAAAAGGTTTAATCTTAGGGGACAAGAATGAAATCTTTGAAACAGTTTTAAGAGTACATATCACTGATGCATAGACATTAAGTATATGTTGAAAGACAAAAGAGATACAAAAAGAGCTAATTTTCTCATTTTTGGAATGACCTTGACCTTTGACCTTTACATGTATTTTAAGGTCAAAGGTCAATGAATCTTATGCAGTTGGTCCCATGTCTCTACGACTTCTTGTTTTGAAAATTTTTAATTATTTGTAAAATTCAAAAAGTTTCAGGGGCAATAACTCACTGAAGGGGTCAATGAATACTTTCGCAATGAATCAATGAAGTGTCTACTAAAGTAGTCAAAGACATTAGTGAAGGTTTCATTTCTCTACTGTTTACGGTTTCGGAGGAGTAGCGATAACAAGCTTTTTTGCAAAAGGGGTAATAACTCCGAAAGGGGTCATAGTTCATATATGCAGGGTCAATTGCGAAAATCTTTTACGGAGTACATTCTTATGAACTTAAAATCTTTTCGATAAATCTTGAAACTCAAAATCACACGGCGGAAAAATAATAAAAAATAATAAGAAAAAGGAAAAAAAGAAACAGAAGGAAATCAATAGGTCTTTCCACAGAAAGGTGGAAAGACCTAATAAGAAACAGAGTAAAAACAATATGTTCCCCAACTTCGTTTGGGGAACATAATTACATTCATGTGCAAGAAAAGTCTGTCCACATGCATGTACATGTAAGATAAATTATGTCCCATGATTGCAAGATTAATTATGTTTACATGCAAGAAAAGTCTGTCCACATGCATGTACATGTAAGATAAATTATGTCCCATGATTTCAAGATTAATTATGTTTACATGCAAGAAAAGTTGTCAACATGCAAGATAAATTATTTTAGCATGCAAGAAAAGTATATCAGTATGCAAGATAATTATTTCTACATGCATAATAATTATGCTGATACATGTATGCAAAGTTACCAATCTTTTTTAGAAAATATAATTTTAATATTGGTAAACTTACATGTATTTCTGCCAGTAAAAAACATAATACAAACAAGATGCAACATAATTATGTTGACATGGGACATTTATTTTAAAAGGCAAGTTAAGATTAAAGATATGCAAAATAATAAATTACATGTGAATATATATATCTCTAATGCTGAAATAACTAACTCACATGTTAACATAATGACATGTATCTTGCATGTTGACATAAATGAGTTGCATGTCTACATACATGTAAGTACCTTGCATGTCTACAAAAATAAGTTGTATGTCAACATAATCCTATTGTATCTTGCTTGTGTGATGTCATATAATGGCATATGTAAGTAAATTTACCAATATTAACATTAAATTTTCTAAAAAGATTGGAAAATGTGATTTCATGTCATCATAATTATTTGGCATGTTTACTAAGTTGCATGTCTTCATAATTATGTTGAACGTTAGCATAATTTATCTTGCATATAAAGGTATAAATATTTTGAATTATCATACTTTTTCCAGCAATGTTCTATTGAAAGGCATATTTTGGCAATGACCAGTTAAAAATTTATTTATTCAAATAAGTTTTTGCCTCACCTGAAATCAAAGTTCAGGTGGTTTTTCTTTGCTGATTACTTGTGTACATGTACATGTATCCAGTTGCTTGCTGTCCATCAGTAATTTTTTGGGATGACATTTTTGACTTTTTTCTTGAGAACCACTTGGTCAATTTTAACCAACTTTGCTCAAGGCATTCTTAATTAAGTAAAAGAGATTTTGAATTATTCTAGTGAAGAGCCATGTCCCCTTTGCCGAGGATATGATTTTAAAAAAGGCTCAGTTGTCATTAAAAAATTCTTCGTAAGAACTATTAAGAAAAATTATGTAGAAGTTTTCTGAAGTTTAAAATTGTTCAAATCAAGGCCTCTTTATTTATGGTTTGGCCACAATATAACGTACGTAGGAATGAATATGAAAACAATTCTTGAAAAACCATGCCAAGAACCACTAGCCCAGAAAAAATGAAACTTGAGAGAAGACTTCCAGACATCCGGGTACTGTGGATTCTAAATTGTTCAGTGTATGACCTCCAATGGTGGATGGGGCCATAGAAAGGGAACAAAGTTGGAATGAATAGGAAAAGTCCTTTTAAAAAAACTTCTGCTATAGAGCCACTTGACGAGAAATATAAGATTGCTGATACTCAGTAGATTTTAAATTTCAAATATGGCTGTAGGTTAGATTGATTGATTGATTGTATATTGTTTAACGTCCCTCTCGAGAATTTTTCACTCATATGGAGACGTCACCATATGCTGGTGAAGGGCTTCAAATTTAGACCTATACTCGGCACTCAGGGCCATTGAGCAGTGAGGGTTCTTACTCATACCAGCGCCTACCATGACACTGGACCTACGTTTTTAAGGTCATATCCGAAAGACCCATTACTTTTACTTCTAATGCCGAGCGTTTGGCGAAGGAACCTCTACGTTAGAATGGGACCATTAGGGGATTAGAGTTTCACATTGTACGTGTTAATTAAATTTTTTATTAAATCAGGAAAAAACCCTGTAAAATCTTCTTATTAGCCACTTGTAAGCGATGCAGTATTTGATTTTTTCTATTTGTATTGTATGATTATTTATTTGTATTCTATAATTTTCCATTTGTATAGTATGATTTTTCATTTGTATATACGTTGCAATATATGATCTTTTCCATTTGTATTGAATAATCTTTATTTGTATTCTATAATTTTCCATTTGAATTGTATACTATTAATTTTTTAATTGTTGTATTCTATATTTTCCTTTTGTATTGTAAAAAAATCATTTAAATTATAAAAATTTTCATTGTATTCAGTCTATATTTTCCATTTGCATCCTAATTTTTCTTATTTGTATTGTAAATGTTCTTATTTGTATTCGATAATTTTTCATTTGTATTTGTAAAAATTCTACAATACAAATGGAAAAATTTTAAATGTAAATGGGAGAATAGGTTAACATGCAACATATTTATGTCAATATGCAAGATAAGTATGTTAACATGCAACTTATTTATGACAACATGCAAGATAATTACGTCAAAATGTGTCTTATTTATATCAATATGCAAGAGATATGTACATGTATGTTGATACACAACTTATTTTCTTGCATGTTGACATAAATATCTTTTATGTTAAATATAACTTGCATGTTGACAAAAATAAGTTGCGTGTTGACATAAATAAGTTGCATGTTAACAAAAATAAGTTGCATGTCTACATAATTTACATAATTATGTTTCATCTTGCATCTACGATGTCAGATCCGAGCGTTAGAACGGGATTTTACTCACATTAAAAAAAGATTCTCTTTTAAGAGTTGTAACTTGCATTTCAACATAGTTATCTTTGATGTAGATATAATAAAGTTGCATGCAAACATAATTTATCATGCATGTATAGAGGACAGAAATATGCCACCAAAGGTGAACCTCTTCATTTATTTAAAAAAAATCTTTCTATTAAATTTTCTTTGAGAATTTGATCGGCATTTTGTATCAAGTTAAACCTCATGTAAAACTAGGTTTATAGTGCCACTAATCGTACAATCATATATTTGATTTAAATTTTCTTAGAAATAATCAAATCAAGAGATTATTATCGAGGAAGTTCAGAACACACTAACCAAGTTCCATTTCTTACAGCCAACACCAATAAGTCGGTTTCTTCTAGGATATGCAGGGGCAGTAACCACGGCTGTGTCAATTGCTGTCAGTATTACTCATAAAACTTTTTATAAACATAAACGTAACTCAAGATCTAGACGATTCAAGCTTTTAATATTCTTGTTTTAAGAATTGATGGTTTATTTTAAAGAACACTTTTCTTTAAAAATTTGATTGATTGTTTAATTGATATAGTTTAACACCGGATGGGCAATATTTCAGCCATATTTCGGCGGAAAAAATTTGAATGAGAAAAGAAATTATAACAAGTCTGAATTTCTTCACGAAAATTTCATTTTCTCTTCAGGTAGGATTAAATGTTTTAATACAGAAGGCAAATAAATTTAACCCGGCTACAAAACTTCTCATTCAGAGATTTGTCCCCTTTCCAGCAGTAGGTATGAAAATGTATTTACCACAATTATGTAAATGTTGACAAAATTTGACACATTTGATTTTATATGTTTGTATATTTCTGATATATTTTTTAATAATGAATCTTTCTTATTAACCCACAAGCTTGCGCCAGCACCTGTAATTTACTGTTGATGAGGAATTCAGAGCTGTCTACGGGTATAGAGGTACAGGATCACAATGGAAATGTAATCGGAAAGTCCAAAGTAGCTGCTGAAAAGGTAAGCCATTCGATTTTTCTTGTTTCTCCAAAGGCAACGCACCTTGTGATGTTTAAGTTAATTAAATATTGTTATTTTCTTTTTAAGGCATTAATGGAGACTGCTGTCACACGAATGTTCTTGCCCGCCCCAATTCTTGTGATTCCTCCGGTCATTATGTCTGTCCTGGAAAAGTAAGTGGACAAATCATTTTACTATCAATAAATGTAAAATAATGAACTTATTAATTGCCCTACCTATTATTATATATTTATTCAAATCTAATCATCTTTATAAAAACTAGTGAATTATTTCATCTGTTTGTTATTTATTTAAATATCCCCGTTTTATGATAAAACGAAGGGGAAATACGACCAGAACTTCAGTAAGGAGGTATATGGACTGTGTTACATACATTGGTTATGAGTTGTCCCTCTTTGGCCTTAAAATTTCCAGAGTTGTTGAATTTTACCACATGAAGGATAAAAAAATTGTTTCCTTCTTTTACAGAACGGTGTTATTCAAAAAATATCCTCGTATAAACCTTCCGATCCATGCTGCAGTTGTGACCATTTGTTTTGGTCTTGCCCTTCCTGTTGCAATAGCGATTTTCCCTCAGTATTCCAAGGTAATCATCAATCAGTCACGTGGGATATTTTCAAGATAATTTTTTTAAATTTAAAGGTTTTAAATTTATTTAGAGGAAAATGCTAAAATTGACATTTGGTGCCAAAACTAACAGTATAATAGTATTCCTTCAGTAAAGGTATATCAGATTATGAATTCTGGGGATAGGTTCATTCCCATCCAGTTAAATATAAAACACTGCTTAAATTTGCGGCTCTAAAGTATACTATTATTTTTACCTCTGATGGTACAGTGGGTTGATTTATTTTATAGAGACAGTGCTAATGATTCCGCTGCAGATTTTCCTTGACTGGTTTGTTACAACGCACTTTGAAAAATTACGCACTTTGAAAAAATTTTTCAAAGTGCGTTAAAATTTGGGACCAAGCTAACGCACTTTGAAAAAAATAATTTTTTTTCAAAGTGCGTTAATATCGACCATATTAACGCACTTTGAAAAAAATGTAAAGATTGATCAATATTCCTTCAAATAATCGGTATGATAAATAACAGATACTGATTTGATAACTTTTTTATGATAAAGTCACTGTAGGACCTGAGATGTTGACGTTTTAAATTTTAAGGTTTTGATAAAATAAAAGGGAAAATCAAAGGGTCTTGAAAAAAAGAGTGACGATTGTTTAAGTTCATTAATTCGTTTCTTCTTTTTTTTTTAATTCTAGTCTTTGATAAGTAGATGTAAAGGTGTATAGGGGGCACTAACAGAGGACAGCTTCAAGCAACTTAGCATTTATCAAAATAAAAAGGGGCCAATTTGATTGTTCAAAACTATGAAAATTCTTTCTCTCTCATACGTTTTACTGTTCTTAAAAATTTCTAGTTTTCATCTGTTTTAATTAACTCATTTATTATTGAAAGTTTTCAACGTCACACCAGTTAGGTAAATACATAATTATATGAATGCTTTGAGTATAGCATAGACTTCGAGACTGGGCGAAGGGCCAGGGGAGGGGAAGGGGGGCTAAGCCCCACACGTATTTTGGAAAGATATATACATCGTATAAGCATTGAAAATGCAGCGTACCCTTTTTAGGTTTATTGCTCCCCTCCCCCGTTTGTTACCGACACCTATGTATCGGAAAGATAAAGATTTGGACTTAGGGATCTTATAACCGTCTTCTCCTCTTTTCGACGGGAGTAAATCAAGTCATTTTTTGAGGTTAGGGTTAGGCTTAGTTTTTTGAAAGATAAATAATAAATAAAATCTTTCCATGACTAAAATATGATTTATTTTTCAAAGTGCGTTAAGTGTCTCCATGGTAAAATATATTGATGTAGACTCTTAACGCACTTTGAAAAATTTTTTCAAAGTGCGTTGAGTTGGTCCCAAATTTAACGCACTTTGAAAAATTTTTTCAAAGTGCGTCGATTTTGTCCCAATTTTAACGCACTTTGAAAAAATTTTTCAAAGTGCGTAATTTTTTCAAAGTGCGTTGCCACACTGGTTTAATTATGTTAAGCAGTGATACCTGAAATAAAAAGAGTTGCATCTTCATTAGTGAAGAGTCTCTGATCCGCTAATCTCCTCACAGAGGCCTTTTTATTGTTTAATTGCAAAACAATATACTAGTATTTACGATCGATATCATATAACCTCATAAGTTTTTTCTTTTGAAATTTGAAACTCTTATAGGAAAAAAAAGAGAAATTTTATTTTCAGTGCTAATTTCTTAAAGAAAGGATGATGATTCTAGGCTACTTGTCCGGCAAAAATTAAATAAATCATTTGCTAAAATTTCTGGGAAAGAAAAACGTATTAATGAGAAAAATATCTTTGGACTTCAGAGAGAACTATTCTTGGAAAATTATTCATTAATCTTTAGACAAATTGTGGGTTATTGTCTAGATAAGATAAAAACAAGAATTTGAAGATTGATGACGAAAATAACTACAAGAGATGATAAAATATATGGCTGACTTTAAGACTGTAGATATACTAAATTTAACCTACATAAAATTGACAGCTAAATAGCTTATCAGGATGTTAACTATGTTTTCACAAGTGCAAGACACAAACATTTACAAAGAAACATGTGTATTTTCATCAGATAAAGACAAGATCATTTCACTTTTGATTAAGAAAGAGAAACTTTTGACACCTTTGAAGGAGCCAATTTACTCGCTGAAACTATAACTGTCTCTTCCAATCGGTATAATGAGGTCTACTGTGGGACGATGGATAAACAATTAGCAATATTGCTGGGTCGTCCCTCGTAAAACTCCGTGCCCGACCCTTGATAGGGTTTGTCTTATCATACGCTTCAGTTGCAGCACCAAGACGGCCAACATCTGCTGGAGACTATTGGCCCCCTAAGAAGTGATTATGATTTATTAAGCGTTTTGTAATTGGCAAATTAGCTAGAGCGTGATGTGTGTCAAAGATTGGATGAAGCAGAAGAAATATGAAAGGAATACAATTGTCTGGGTTTGAACTCTATTATTGTTCGTCGTCTGTCGTCCCTTTCTACGGCGATTGTAAATCATTGTTTTCTTGAGATGCTCGTTAGTTGTTGCTTTTGGCAGAATGATTCTCAATTTGGATCGAGGTACAGAGACGAATAAGCAAAAACTGGCCATAATGTGGTGTACTTCTACCACTAATTGTTATTTATCCTCCGTGGTTTGCACGTGATGAACATGTAATTGGTCTGTGTTACTAGAACGCTTAATTGTTGGGTGGAGAAAGATCTAATTAATGGGTGTTTCTACACAATATATACTTTTGCATTTTATCAGAGAGAGATAAAAATATTCAATTAAGAACAATGCTTTTTCGTGTGATTTCGTTTTTTGTTTGGTATTCAGTGATTATTGATGTTAGTTGTTTGAATAACATGTATGTAATTTGGAAAGTTGGAAAGAGTCCTTTTTATCTGCAATATTCCTTGATTCTGCATAATACGCCTCATTACATTACATCATATTACATCATCTATATATAACGAAAGAACATGGAAATCTAACGGTTCAAATTCTTTCAACAAACTACGCTGACGAAATTTCTTGAAACATCTCACTTATCGAATGAATAATAATGGTACACTTTATGATACAGATAATATTAATTAATTTGCATCAAAGTCTTTTGGAGTTAATCTCCCGTCTCATGCCTTAGAAAATAAATTGTAGATTTCTACCAGTCACTTGGAACCAGAGATCCAAAAGTTGACAAACGAGACAACACTGATATATAATAAGGGACTTTGATGACTCGTTCAGTAACCGTAACAGTATCTCGGATATTCCAACTATCTGGAATTTGATATCGATCTCAAAGTACAATGTACGTGTTATGTGAATATTTAGTATTTCAATGTACATGTATATTGGTCAAAATGGGTGAACTGTATTTATATTCTGATATATTTTTATATTATATAAGCGTCTTTAGTTGCAATTGGACTTTTACGAGAAGCACTGACTTCTACAGTTAGCGGTTTACTTGGGCATTTAAACTAGTTGTAGAAACGGAGGTACAGAACTGATAATACATAAGAAATCTTTCTAGTGGTTATAGGTACAGTGTGTATGATGTTAGGGGCACTTCATGTGAAGGCCAGGAGTTGAGGACAGCTTATATTTGCATTGAAATAAGCCATTATTTTCGTTTAATTATATCACCATGTATATCCCAACATGCGGGGTGTATACTATGTTGTGCGCGGGGTGTATGCTTCCGAAGCGAGAGAAAGGGGGTCGATGTATGTTCTTTGTCCGTTTTCTCAACTTACGGATATTTTTCGCCAGAAAGCATATGCCTACGGAAGAAAGCTTTATCTAAGGAGTATATGGATACCTATGAATCCACTGGACACCTTCTAGTTTTATCAAACACTTCAACACAATTCCGAGGATCGGAGCAAGATTGACGCTACACAGTGTTTATGATCAAATATCAGAACAACCCTTTGCTGTATCATCACTTTTATATTATTGTTAAATACATGTTTACAATATAAACGTTTGTACAAATTGTCTGTAAATAAAACAGTTCGTATATAAAGATATTGACGAAAAATCAATGTTGTGTCCGGGGTGTATGCAACATGTTGTACGCGGGGTGTATGGAAATATTACTATCACAGGTTAATAAGCGATAGATAGTGTTGATAGAGAACCTTATTACTAATGCTGAACCAAAAAGCAATTTCCATAAACTTACTGAAGTATACGACAAATTAACTAAATTTTAAAAAATCTAAAGAATAAAAAAAATTAAGAACAAACTATCATAATTATTCAAACATAATAGGCGCTAGATGTGCAAGAAGCGATTGTTATCTGAATTAATGCTACATTGTAGATGGCGCAATGGTCTAAATCTACATAATCATAAAATCTCTCCAAAGGGGGCCCTCGCCCACCCCCCTCCCCAAACCCTGCATTGAGGACACTTTGCCCTTCGGTTAGTTTCAATCTAAATATTTCGCCTGAAAAAAATAATAGAAACACTACATGAATGGTGTATTATGAAAATTTCTTTTTGTTTCTGCAACTTGTATGTTATCAATACATGTATTCTGAAGCATTTATGACAATGATGTAACCCCCCCCCCTTTTTTGTGAAAAGGGGGGTTACCTGAAAAAAAAAACTTGACATAAGTTGACTAGCTATAAAAAGGGGGGGGGGACTTATCGAAACTCAAAACTCCTATTTCAAATGGGGTTGTAGGTCCTATCTTTTTTTCAGTACCAATTCTCCTTTATTTACTTAAACATACTACATAACTATTGTTTGACCATGTTGCAACCAAAAAAAAAGGGGGGGCAACCTGACTTTCGATGAACATTTTCTGTAGTGAAAAGTTGTGTCTGGAACAAAAGGGGGGGTGATATTACGTGTCTGTATGATATATTAATTTTCCTTTCAATGTTCGCAATATGTGAACTCATTTTTCCTTATCTGAAAAGATTTCATATTTTACAAATCACAATAAACATGTAAAGCTGGCTATAAAAATGCACATTTGTAATAAGGGACGACAATTTTCGGAGGGGCATGCACAATTGAAAAAAAACTTTTAGGTACAATTACAATTTTAAGTTGACGTGTAATTAATATCAATTAATGTTCACTCCTCCTCTAATTCATTATCATAATATTATATACACGTAGTAAAGTTACCCCCCCCCCCCAAAAAAAAAAATGCCAAAAAAAATGACCTAAGACACAAACACACCCTCCCCGGGCCCATTCCTAGAAAATATATACTCAGTACAATACAATGCCTCAATATAAAACAAATAGTTTACTTCCAAATATGGGCTCCTGGGGGCAAAGTACAAAGCATATAAATACTACATGAAGGAGAACATTTTTGCGGTCTTTATGACATTACAAAAAGCTAAATATTTTCAATGTCATTTTAAAAAATATTGAAAAAAGTTAAACAGAAATTATGAGAAAATGTTAAATATGTTCAAAATGATGCATGTGTGAAGCATTTTTTAAGGAAAGATCTGAATAAGGTGCTTTTATATCGAAAGAAGGGATGAATTGTTTGTTATCACATTAAACAGTTAAACAAAGTGCCCTGTACATTTACTTCCATGTGCATGCAAAGCCAAAAGTACGATGAAAGAGAATCAATTTTTTCCAGTAAATCGAATTCATGAACCTGAAGTTGTGCTATTACAAAACTGGTGAATAATTTTAAAAAAAATAAACAGAACTTTCAGAAAAGTTAATTCTTCAGGATTTTTTTTAATGATATTGCGGACGATGATACTATAGAGTAAAAAGAGGGGTATACACCCCGCGTACAACATGTTGCATACACCCCGGACACAACATTGATTTTTCGTCAATATCTTTATATACGAACTGTTTTATTTACAGACAATTTGTACAAACGTTTACATTGTAAACATGTATTTAACAATAATATAAAAGTGATGATACAGCAAAGCCTTGTTCTGATATTTGATCATAAACACTGTGTAGCGTCAATCTTGCTCCGATTCTCGGAATTGTGTTGAGGTGTTTGATAAAACTAGAAGGTGTCCAGTGGATTCATAGGTATCCATATACTCCTTAGATAATGCTTTCTTCCGTAGGCATATGCTTTCTGGCGAAAAATATCCGTAAGTTGAGAAAACGGACAAATAACATACATCGACCCCCTTTCTCCCGCTTCGGAAGCATACACCCCGCGCACAACATAGTATACACCCCGCATGTTGGGATATACATGGTGTATATGGTGAGCTAAATATTTATATCTTAAAAGAGCTTCCGTAATTGAGCTTGTGTAAAAGTAAGCCGTCAACTGTAAAAGTCAGCGCTCCTCGTAAAAGTTCATTACTACACATTTGTTTATTAAATGTGCATATGCATAACTATTGTTGTTGTTGTTTTTTTAGTTCTCCTGGTCAGAGACCAGAAGAGCTTATGCGATAGTAAAGTGTCCGTCGTCCGACCGTCTGTCTGTCCGTCCGTCTGAAAACAATTTTAGAAAGTGCTACTCCTCCTACAGTTTTGCTCGAATTTCAATATAACTTGGCAACTCCACCAACTTTCGTAAAATGTGGATGTCTCTAGATCTGGACAGCAGTCTGGGTTTTTTGACAGACTACGTGTTGCCCTTAACAATATCAAAAACATATTGAGAGAACAAAGTTAAATTAAATGTTTAAAGCTTCAAAAACTTGTCAATTTCCAGAAATGTCTGTAAAAAAAATGTACTATTAATTGGGATTATTCTACTCTTGTTAAGAATACAGATAATTTACATACATACTGTATAGATACACATAGGTCAGTATGATTTTTTATAATGCAATTTTCTAAACATGTGTTATATCTTTTCTTTAGATCCCCCCTCCTTTAATGATTTTTTTAAAAATAAATTTTATGAAATATTTCAATTTTTAACAAATTTCAAAATGTTTTCTTATAAATCAAATTCAATTTTGGCAAAAACTACTGTATATAAGTTTGGGCGAGGACATTATTTTTTTTAAAAGTTTATGCTATATTTTTTTAAATTGTCTTCCAAACAATGTTTTAATGTAATACACGAATAAAGGATGCATTTTAAAATGAAGTGATCCGTAAATTTGCGTCTTCTAGTTCTTTGATAAAAAAAAAATGAATTTCCATCTTGACAAAAATCATGCTGACTTTTTCAAAATTCAAAACTAGATTTTGTGGAGAAAGTTACAGTGTAGGGTAAATAATGAATAAAAAATTGGCTGCTCTAAAATAAATTTTATGAAATATTTCAATTTTTAACAAATTTCAAAATGTCTTCTTATAAATCAAATTCAAATTTGGCAAAAACTACTGTATATAAGTTTGGGCGAGGAAATTCTTATTTTTTAAAAAAGTTTATGCTATATTTTTTTTAAATTGTCTTCCAAACAATGTTTTAATGTAATACACGTATAAAAGATGCATTTTAAAATGAAGTGATTCGTAAATTTGCGTCTTCTAGTACTTTGATAAAAAAAAATGAATTTCCATCTTGACAAAAATCATGCTGACTTTTTCAAAATTCAAAACTAGATTTTGTGGAGAAAGTTAGGGTAAATAATGAATAAAAATTTGGCTGCTCTAGTATTTATGTCAGTAAACATTGTGAGTATGAGGACGGTATTGTTAATACAAAAACATTCAGACATAAAACGTACATGTCCACATTTAGTTCAAAAAGGTGTTCGAGTGGATATTCGCGGTATTTGGATAATAAATATTAATGGATTCTTTGCAGACTAATATTTATAATAAATGCATGTGTTTGCGTGCTACTGTGTGATAACTTTCTTGTTAACTTAAGTCGTTAACAAATATTTACCTCAACCACAGTCATATTATCACAAGAAAAATATGTATAAAATTGTAGACCAACTCAATTTCAATAATTTTTTTTACCAGTTACATTTTGGTGTATGTTTCTGGGGTTATATTAAGACTTCCTTTCAGAAAAATCCGTGTCTTTTAGAGGGCAATTTGTCCAGTAACCAGACAAGACACACAGAATTGTTGAATGAAGGAGCTGCAATAACTAGGAATAGCAAATTGTATCTAATATTTTCAATTAAAAACTTAAAAGATATTTAAACAAGGGGCTTGCCATTATGGAAAAAAAATGTCCCTTTATGGACACAAGAAAAAGTTCATTTGCTTCAGAATTAAAGACAGATGAAAACCCGAGAAACCTGTCGTTATCTGAGAGGATCGGGTACTGGTAGAGATAAGAAAAAAAACGCCAGACAAGTCACGTTTATAAAGTATAGAAGTTGTCACCATTGCTTTTAAAACATTTCCATTGAATACTTCTCTTGTGTGATTGAATTTCAATTTAAAATTATCCACACTGAATTATTTGCAGAGTTAAAAGATTTAAGCAAGAATCATTGAAATATTGAAATGTTAATTTGGCAATTAAAATAATTTTGTTCGTTAACGTGCCAAAATATCACACACGATGAGCCGAACCAACGCATTATCTCGAGAACTATTTCATTATTAAATCATTTTCCTGTGTCGTTATACATGTTTATACAAAATGCCCCGAGTTATAGGTTCGCTGCACCAA